GGAGCAGCAGGTAAGCGCATAGTCCCTCCTGCTAGCCCTCAATGACTAAGTGTATTTAAAATTGAGAGGTGGGCAACGACGTCAGGGGTGAGGTATACACCCTGATGGTAATTTGGACTCCGATACACAGATATTTCCGTGTCATGTGTGGCATCAATGGGGAACGTTTTTCATGCATTTTCCACCAAACCAGTGGATTGTCTTCTCCGTCTACAACCTCCTCGCTAAGGTAACAGTCCACTTCTATCTATGCCTTCTCCTCCAGTCTACAATTTGGCAATTAGTTCGTCCATGTTTGGACGTCTTCTGTGTTCTAAACGCAATTCAGTTTGTGCATGTTTACACTGCTCCGCCCATCAAAAGTCTCATGCGTGAATACATCGCCTATTGACGGTTATTGGAGTGATGATTTTTGGTTGGAAAATTCTTGCTCCCCGACCCATTATCTCCCTCTATGTCCCTTGTTTCCTCTTTGTCCCTCTCTCCGTGTCCCAGTCATGTCATTGTTTTCGTCTCCCGATTCTGTTCCCATGTCTGTTTCTTCCCTGGTCGCAGTGTCAAGTCCATGTGTCTTAGTCTGCATGTTTCCTGTTTTATTTTGACAGTCTCTACTCTCGTGTTCAGTGTGTTCTCTTTTGCTTCCTCCTGCCTCGTCACGTATTAACTTTTTACAGCTGTAAACTTTTGCAAAACTTTTGCGAGATCCCGAGTTTGTTTTGCGAGATCTCGCCAAACTTTTGAGCTGGACGAAGGCAACGCTTGTTTGCCAATCCTTGCCTTGACATCTGCATCGGTTCGACCTTGCTGGTCGATGATGCTGCCTAGGTAGGTAAAAGAGTGTTCTTCCTCCAGAGGACTCCCACTAAGGTGATTGGGTTGTTATTATTGGACTTGATCTTAAGGATTCTGGTCTTCTCCTTGTTGATGGTGAGTCCAACCCTTAGCTTACAATAAGGTCATCATGTGACATTATTTTTTGCCATATTGTGAAAGGGGCTGCGGTAGGCTACCTGCCATTTAAAAGCTGCATGAAATCCTCTGCAGGTTAGCGCAGGATAAACAGGTAAATCTGCACTACTGTGATGAGTTTAAACTAAAGAGCAGTGTGTTGGACTGGTGCACAGGGACGGGTGCACACCTTAACTGCTTCCCTACTTACTTTGCTGTTTAGACACTATAATGTAAACAACAGAAGAGTTTTTATTTTCCTTCTTTTTCTCTGCTCATGTTCTACTTACCTGGTTACCTTTGTTAGAATTCAAATTTAGACTGAAGTAAAGTTTGTATTCCTACAGTGATTATTTTATTATTACATTAATGTAGCACAAGGTTCAGTAAGGATTGGAAAAAAATAGGTGGTAGAAGGTTGTTCAAGGAGCTAGTTTTTACTTTATTACTTTTCAAAGTACATTTCAGAGCCTGTACTTTTATTTGAGTAAAGATCTTTCATTCGAAAATAGAAAATTGAACCCACACTAAAATAAGGAAAAATAAATATACACTTGTTGGGTTATTTAGCTTGAGTGGTGCTTAGGGGACGATATGCTGAGTATACTTGATGTAATGCAAGTTTTTCAGCATACGATGGTTAAGAAGGCTTGATGTAACTTCGAGTATACATCGATAATGATCAAGAGATAAGAGATAAGATAAGATATAAACTTTATTAATCCCTCGGGTGGGTTCCTCTGGGAAATTGCGTTTCCAAAAGCACAGCACCGACAGAAGTTACAGAGTTACAGAATAATATATATATATACACACACAACTATATATAAATACAGAGACAATATAAATAAAATATACGAAGGGGATAAATAGAATAAATAGGAATAAAAAATAAAAATACAAGTGAATTGCACATTTCAAGTATTGAGGTCTATTGCACCATGTTGACTATTATACAAAGGTATTGCACAGTGAAGTGAAGAGGCACTACAGCTTAGTTGTTCCCCCCTCCTTTGTCCTCCTGTTTCCCCTCCCTCTCCCCTCCAGAGAGGAGTTAAACAGTCTGATGGCGTGTGGGACAAAGGAGTTTTTAAGTCTGTTAGTTCTTGTCTTGGGGAGAAGCAACCTGTCACTGAACAGACTCTTCTGGTTGTTAATGGCCGTGTGCAGAGGATGCCCAGCATTGTCCATAATGTCCAGCAGTTTTTTTAGTGTCCTTTTCTCTGCCACTGTCACCAGAGTGTCCAGCTTCATGCCGACCACAGAGCTAGCCTTCCTGATCAGTTTCTCCAGCCTGGATGAGTCCTTCTTTGCTGTGCTGCTCCCCCAGCACACCACAGCATAGAAAAGTACTCCAGCAACCACTGACTGGTAAAACATCTCATCGAAGTTCAAACTGTCTGTAGAATTCACTGAGTTTTTTTTTTCTTCTACACCCTACAAGTAAGTCATTGGTTTTCTAAAAAAAATTGTCTACCCGGCGCACTGCGCTCAGCATGTGTTTATATACTACCAGATAGGGAATAATATGGCGACAGACAAGCGAGGGAATGAGACACGTTGTCATTTGGATTTCACAAAGAGGATGTCGAATAAAATGTGTTCATTTGCAAAAATTGCAACAAACAAATTTTTTCCGCTGCAAAATTAGGAATGTTTTAAACGTCTCCCCACAGAAAACGTTGAATAAACCAACTGTGACACCTGTGACTGTTCTTGGTCAGTTGTTTTTATAGTCACTATCTAGACTTTTGCTTCTGTAATTTAAGGTCATCACATTTTTTAAATTTTACAATTATATATATTTTTAACCCTTTAGTATTCTGCTCAACCAGTTGGTAGAGTACATTTTCAGGCCCTATGTCTAACTGAGGCTTTCACTGAAATTGACCTAACTTTTTCAGTCTTTTCTACCGACTGGTTTACATCTGTAATGCCAAGAAATTCCACCAGAGGGCACTGTGGATGCAAACGGTTGGTTCTTCTTATCTCCCAACCAGGAAGTCAGAAACAAAAAACCATCCAACATATTTTGAGTGTTTTTGATGAAACTAAAGTAGGAAGGTATCATTTTCTGATATAGTGTTAGAGGACTTACAGGTCACATCTGTTTAGTATGTGATCAATTGCTGTTGATAAATCACATTAAGTGTTAGCACAGCAAGAATATGCTGAAATAATTTCCCCAGTAAATAATTTTTGTAACTTTCTGAGTAAAATGTAATCAAGAGTAGCATGTGGAAATCACAAATATCACAACTAATTACCTTTTAACCAATTTACAGTAGCTGGTAAATTAATATTACTAAGTTGTCAAAATTATAATTTCATGTTCAACAAGTATTATATGGCAATTACATGGCTAAAAATCACATGGTCCTGTGGCGGATTCATGACTGTTGTCTCATGATACCATCCACCTTCAACCACAGTGTGTTTGAGGTCATGGTTTCATATGAAGCCAACAGGGCTGGCACCAGTATATTGCCAACAAACCAGATGAGAAGGGCTTTAAATTGTTCTGCCAACCAAGTTCATCTGGCAACATTCACGACTTGCTGCTGTATCAACGGGGATCTACATTCTTCAATGCTCCCCTCCGTGCAAAGGAACAGAAGCTACCTCTAGGCCAAAGTTGTAAAATTTTGTAAAATTTGAATTTGAAAAAACACTTTTGAAACCCATAAAAGAACCTCAGCTCTTCACAAGTTTCAGCTTGGTCCAGAACTTGAACAATTCCTTTGTGTCAGGTGCATTAGTACTGTGTAATCAAACTGCACTGGTGGAGCTCCCCTGATGAAGAAGGGCAATGGAGCAGTGATTACAGGTCTGATGAAGGTCTGATTGAAGTAAAATGATTTGACAACAAATGTGTCAACCTTCTTAATGCCTGTGGGTCCATGCCTCTTTCATTGGTCAAATGGTGGAGCAAAGAGTCCAATGCAAAGATCACCATTCCATGCCCATCACTCATCCCTGTATATAATTAGCATATGGGAGGAAGAGGTAGAGATCAATATTTTAAAAACTATAGGGTCTTTTGAAAAACAAAAAGATTGGTTGTGGTTATTACTTACCCAAGTCAATAAGAAATGCAAGAAAATCATTTTTCCATTGCTGTTTTTCGACCTTGAACGGTTAAAAGCACATTTTTACTTTCACTTGGTTTTTTGTTTGTTTCTTTGTTTTGTCTCATGAATAATTTTTGATGGACTTTTTTGTTGCTATGATCTCTTGGTTGATAAAGGTCTACTACTGACCACAGAAAGAGACTTACTGTGACAGTATTGTCATTTGTGGAAAAACCTCTGTGTGCAACTTACATAAAAAAACCCAAAAAAATATTTCAGGTCGTTCAGATTTTTGAATTCAAAGTAGAAAAAAATATTGAATGGTCAATTTGAATGAGTATACCAGTGCAATTTGAAGTACTCTATTGTTAAGCTGCAGTTTGGGTTCTGCTGCTTAATCTCATGGAGTCTCTTCTTTAGTTTTTCTGCCATGGAGTTAAGATCTGAAGCTGTTAGCATGTCGGGAATCTTCCTCAGCTTTTCCTCCGGAGCCTTTGCCAGCCAGTCTATGATGTGATCCATGAGAGGCTCTCTCTGTTTGGGGAGACTGCACCTCTCTTTCAACGAGGTAAGGATGTATCTGTTGCAAGGAGACAATGGTTTAATTGGCATCTTTTTTGAATTTAGAGGTGAAGGAGTGCTGGAGAATAATCAAACAGACAAAGAGTGTGCTCACTTGGAAACAAACTTCTTGATTTTTCCTACACGCATCCTGTGTGCATGGAAGAATCCTGAGAGGAATGTCCTGAGAGTCTCACCTGAGAAAGTTTGAAATAACTTTGTAAATTTGGTTGCATTAAAAAATATTTTGTTTTTGGCAGATAACATTAATAACATACCTCCGTTTGCAAGACTCTCACAGGTGCCACACACGGTGTCAGAATAGGCTGAGCCAGTGAGGAGTACGCTCTGCCCGCTGGAGCACTCCTGATGTTTTACACACAAATCCACTGCAGAAGATGAGCTGGAAAAATATCCCTCTGGACACGTTTCACAAACGGTGTTTGTCTGCTGTGTACCTAAGAGAGGACAACAGAGGACTTCAGGTCACTACATTCATTGGAAGTGTAAAGTGAGTTAGACATACTGATGTTTTGGATAAACAGAAGAAGATGGATGGATGGTTTAGTAGTTCATATTTAATAAATGAATACTGTACCTTTAGTTTGAACCCCGTATCCGGGGCCACACTCTGTGTGCCTGATACAGAAGTCATCAGCCGAGTAAAAGCCTTCTTTGCACCGACAGATCCTGTTGGTTGTCGGGGAGCACTCTGTTTCCACCTCCAGGTTACCTGTGCAAAGGTTATTGCAGTACAGACACCTGGGCAGGTAGTTCCACAGATCGGTGAAGTGGCCATTTTTGCACGGCTGACACTGTGTGGGTGTGGTGGCAGTGCAATGAGCAGACATGAACGTGCCCGGTGGACACTTGCGACATTTGAGGATTTCTCCGGTTACCGGGTCTCGGTGGTCAAAGGTGGGAACAGGATCCACCACTGAGGCACCACAGAGTGAACCAGAGAGCAGGACCAGCGCTGGCACGATAAGCTGTGAAGAGAGACGACACCTGATTATAAGTGCTGAAAATACCTCAGAACATGTGATTTGCTATGCCTGTGAGTTATAGCTCCCTCATCCTGTAGCTCTAAAATTTCACCTAAAGTAGTGGAAATATTTACTAGCTTAAATTGCACAACTTGAAAACGCAAGTCAAAAACAGTAACACAGGAACATGCATCAAAAATATGGAAGCATTTGTTTGTTTTTAATCCTCTCACATTAGCTGTGTTTTGTTTTTAAGTTGCCTCTTGTCTGATCTGACCTGATACACTGACTTTTCAGGGGCCAGAATGAAACTAACAAGAGGAAACCTCTTTAACCTCAATGCAGCATCTAATGGATAAACCATCTGTACACTGTAAGCACAAAAGAGTCCACTGTGGCAAACGTCCTCAACAAATCATTGATAAAAGTGATTAAAGTATTTAACTATTTCACGTTACATAATCAAATGTAATTAAACATAAATGCATATCTCTGTTTATTCTTTTTCTATTGTAAAATATTTCCCCATTTCTAGAATTTGCATACTGTGTAAAATAAACATAAATGAGTTTTTTGAAATTTGAACCTATCACGTATTCCCATTTTAAGCTCTATAGTTGTGTCAAATACTCACCATGTTCATGATGGGATGTCTGTCAAAGAGGATTTGACAGCACTCGGCTTTATAGGAACCCTTCCTGCGTGGGTGATGTGGTTTGTCTAATCAGCTGTAAACTTCATCTTAAAGGTCAAACTAGTTCTGTGTAGTAAAGCAATGTTATTGAAAAAAGAAACTGTCAGAAAATGGAAGGAAGTATTTGGAGTAATGTGTGATTTAGTTTCACTCACTGCCTGTTGCTAACTTTTTATGCGTCATCTCAAGTGTTGTGAGTTTTTTGGTTCCTCCTTGTCTGATAGAAATAATTCACATTTAAGCTCATTTTCAGATTTCACCAACTTGTTGCTGCCACTGATATGAGATTACATGAATAGAGCATATAGTTTACTGTTTACTATTAAAAGACCTTAAATCTTCTGTAAAGTGTAGGGTCAAATATATGTATGTGTGTGTTTTTTAATTTTGCATGATTACTTTGTAATGTCATTGAATACACAGTGGAATGTGTAATATTGCATTCAACAAGTTCAAAAAGCTTGCACAATTTTAAAAGCTCTCTCTTTCTTTAATACATGTAATACATGGGAATTTGATTTTTTAAATCACATCCTGTAGTGTTCAAAGGCTTTTATGTAAATCAGAGAAGCTAAATCAGAGTGTTATGAATCTTCTATGTCTACAACCCTCAGATAAATATGTATGTATGTATGTACGGTATGGTGCATTTGTATGCTGTCTTCAGTTTTAAAAGTAAGCAACAGATGATAATGTGACATTTTGAAAGAGTAAAAGCACTTCTCATTTGTTCCTTTTGTACCATATGATGTGCGGGTTAATACAAATTTTTGATCTTTGTTTTTTCTACCGCCTGGTTCTTGAAACAGGCAAAATCATACGTCACTGTGAGTCCCCCTTTTAATTTGCAGAATACGTCAGTGAATCACTGATTGGGGTTTACAGTCTGATGACTTAGCAAAACGAACTGGTCAGTGAGTCACAGTAGGATCTTCATTTCTCTGTTCTCTTCCTGTTTCCACAGAATATGAGCATGACTCAGCTGTGGTGGGATGTGTTTCACTGTACTTGTTCATATGTTAATTTGACCAATTTGTGCATTTGATTTATATATAAAAAATAAGGATTTTTTTTCCCATAATGGTCATGAGCTCATCAGGAGCCTACATAATATTATTCATTTTTTATCAATTAAGAGGTGAAGGAGTGTAAGGTACGAAGCCCCTCAAGGGACACGGGAGAAAAAAAATTAAGATGGACTTTTGCGAGATCTCGCAAAATAAACTCGGGATCTCGCAAAAGTTTTAGACGCATTCTTCGGAGGCCGCCAGCTCGAAGCCGACCGGGAGGTCGAGGTATTAATTAAGAGGTGAAGGAGTGTAAGGGGTAAGTAAGTAAGGAGCAGGCTCACATGGCAATAAAAGTCCTCCCAGCAGGCATCCTGTGCACGCTGAAGAATCCTGAGAGGAATGTCACGGAAGTCTCACCTGGGAAAGTTCCAACAAAATTTGAATCCACAAACTAAAAACACACCTACACACACCTTTTAGACTCTCACCGGTGACACACACGCAGAGCAGGTAGTTCCACAGGTATTGGGCACTTCTGCATGGCTCGCACTCTGTACACAGTGATGATGCAGTAATTGGACACGCAGAGCCTGTGAGTGTTTCTGTGGTTAATGGGTCTTGGTGCTCATAGATGGGATCAGAGTCCTCCACCCTGATGCAGCAGATCTCACCAGAGAGCAGGAACGGCACTAGTACAGAAAGCTGTGGAGACGAACAGTACCTGCTGATAAGTGTAGCTCACATACTACAGTTGTAATCTAGTATAACTATACTTATAGGCATTAATCCATTAATGCAGTGTTTCTTGTCTCCCGTGTGATGCTGTAAAACAATTCACTCAATGCTGAAGTGCGCTGTGTATTTTGGGATGGGCTGATAAGGAGTTTGAGGAAAAAGGGTTCAAAATGATCCTTTAGAGTGGTTTCCTTAGCTTGCATCGACAACTAATAGGCATAATGAGTCTATCATGTGCACACTTTACAGCCTGCAATAAAATGTCACATTTACTGCTTTGTCGGTGCAGGAAATGCTTTGTGCCCACAAGTACGACCTACATTTATCAAATGCCCTTTATTTCTTGGTTCTAACTGACTTTGTATTGCACGATTCATGGTCCTAATTTAGTTCTTTAAATTATTATTGCAAACATGCCAGAATCCACAGTTTAAAAACGCTGTGTAGTCTAAAAATGCAAATGATACCATATTTAAATGTGTTAATTTTCTTTTTTCTTTCAGCTCTTCCGATGTGACCATATGACTTTTTTTTTTAGTTTAGTTTCGTTTTAGTTAGTTTGGTAGCACTTTTAAGATGTTATGTATCGTGCTGGCATTGGTACACGACTGTGTCGACTCAAAATCAGGTCAACCTTCCAATCACATGCTGAAAACTGGCACTCGCTCATGTGAAATGGTTTCAAAACCAGATGATCTGAAATGTGACACATCCTCTGTGCGTAATTCAGAACGTATCCTGGCCATAAAAGGTTTTTGCACCCTTCACTTCTATGCCATTCAATCACTGAGTTCTTGAGTCCACACCGCTACAGAAAAATGATACTGCCTGTGAGATATACATGAAATCAGCATCAAGTTTTGGTATTGACTTTTCAAGTTTTGTATTTCTTGTATGATAATTCTTCATATTTAAACAACAACAACAATAATTAGTCTGATAACTTTTCATTAAAATCCTGTTGCTATTCAGGATTTTCCCAGGAGAGCCTTAAGGTAAAATGTGAAATACACTACTTTTATTTTCATTTTTTCGAAACCTATTACGCTTTTGTACCGACACATAAGTATTATATTGGATTAGTATCAGTCATGGACCTGGGTCTGGTGACCAAGGGTTCTTGTGTTTTTTGGGTTGGTTTATATTTCTGGGTTTGGGGTTTATCTTGGGCTGGCAGTCCTCGCTCGTTGCCCTGTCCACGTGTCTGTTTAGCATGCTTTGCTGTTGTGTTTTGTCTCTGCTCCTCTCCCAGTCTCCTGTTTCTCTGTTTATGTGTGTAGGTGTTTAGACATGTGTGTGTATCCAGAATTCCATGTTCATGCATTATTTGACTGGGAAGTGTTGCTGCGCTGATATCAGCCACACCTGCTGCTCATCAGCCTTTGCCAACTGTAGCTGATTGCCATTGTCAGTGGCCTCCCTACTTAACTGTCTGGCTGAGCTTCAATCAACACTGGATCGTTGAGTTCACTTGCTAGTACAGCCCTGGTTAGCTACTAAATGCTTTGTGTGCACATAGCTTGCCAGATCAACTAATGTGTGTTTTCTTCCTAAGAGTTGGGAAAGGAGTTTGTCAGGGAGCGGAGCCACTGTACAGATTTGGAGTTGGGGTTTCACGATACGTACCACAGACACGAGCACTGTGTGGGATTTTGGGCCGTTCCCTGTTCCTGCTCCAAGGGCAACAGTGCTCCAGCCTTTCCCTGCAGCCGTACCAGTGCCTCGGGTGAGGGTGGCTGGTGCTCAGCTGGTCCTAGCTCCAGGTATCAGGCCAGCTGAGGTTCTGCTAGTTCAAGCACCCATATTTCTTCCTCGGGTGGGGACAGCTGATGCTCAGTCATTGCTAGTACCAGTCCCAGCTCCAAGGGTGAGGGCAGCCGCAACCCGGCCTTCACTCCTCGGGTAGGAGTGGTTGGTGTCCGGTCTGCTCCGGCACCGGTTCTGGTTACCAGGGTGAGGCCAGCTGAGGTGCAGTCGACCTCTGCACCTGTACAAGTCCCCTCGGGTAGGAGCAGCTAGTGTTCAGCAGGTGTCTGCACCCGTTCATATCTCTGTTGGAGGCCCAGGAGAGCCTGTCCAGCCACTCCTTTCACCAGCTGGGGGCTCAGGAGAGCCTGTTCAACCACTGCTGGGCCCGCGGTCGGCATCCAGACCTGCTTCATCCCTTCCATTGGTCACTTGGCCAGCCAGCCGCCTCAACTGTTTTGTTTTGGACTCTGTTTTCTTAGATTGCGGCCAGCCTTCAGAATCAGAATCAGAATCAGAATACTTTATTCATCCCGAGGGAAATTAGGGTTACAGCAGGCAGCACGCTAATGGCGCATGCGCACTTACAAAGGAACCTTCTGACCAACTTTACACAAACATCACATTGGGCAGACATGTCAGAAAGGTAGGCTGATAGGAAAAAACAACGAAAATACACTACATGAGGTAAGAGGAGGAGAAAAAAAACTCCACTCAGACTGAGCTCCTAGTGGGAGAACAGTTTGATAACAGAAAAAACACCTCAGCACAAAAGCACATGACTATCAATACACCATAGAAACACAAGACAAGCAACAGGGGCGGGTAAAGGGTAAGAGAGAGCCGGTGTAGACAGCGCATCCGGTCCTGCAGCATCTGTGCTGGTCCAGTTGACTGCTATCTTCCCCGGTAGGGCACAAGCATCGAAGGCGTTGGAAAGGGAGGGGGGATGAGTGAGTGCTTATCAGTGTAAGTGTGTGTGTGTGCGTGTCCATAGTTTAGCTGAGACAGTGTCCTTCGGCCTATCAGGCTAAGTAAACAGTCCTCCAGCCAATCCAGGTGTCCTTGCATGGGATGGGAAGAATAGCCGTAACACAGTCATTATCAGGGAGTGATTGTTCGGCTCCAGCCTTGGGCCTGCAGCTGGCGCCGTGATGGGGATCCGCAATGTTTATGTTGGTTTTGTTAATTTCCATGCGAGCAGCCCAGGAGAATTTTTCAGGCTGCTCTTTAACACTCCGACACTGGCCTCTCGATCTCCCGTTGGAGAGTCGCGAGCCTCCCCATGATGGTATCAAACTTCTGTTCCATGGTGTTATCGTTCTTTTGATTCTGAGACCTCACAACTGCAGTGATCCGTTCCGCGATGTTTTCCAACTGTCGCTCAAGGGTCTCATTTTGAGCAGGCCTCTCTCTGATGTTTCCCCTCATACGCTCAATGGTGTTGTTTTGAGCCTTCACAGCAGCTGCAAGCGTCTCCAAGGTGTTGACCATATTACGTTCGTTGTGAGAGGTTGCGCCTCGTTCCATTTCGATTCCAGC